ATACATTATAATACATAATAATAAAATACATTATAATAATATAATAAATAATAATAAAAGCAGTACTGCTGATACTTTAAATTCATTCTGCTGTACGCAGGTTTCTGTTTCCTCCAGCTGCTTCCCACTGAGGATCTGATCGACGTTACAAAGGACGATTCAGGACGACAGTGGGATGTTTTCTGGTTGTCGTGGTAACGCAGATACACGCTGAATATAAAAGTAAAAATAAAAGAAGTCACATGAAGGACTCGAGCCTCAGGATCCGATCACATGAAGATGTTTCCTACAGCAGAGATCCGGATTCACACAATGTCCCCAATTACACACAATCAATCTACTCTAATTACTTTGTTTCAGTAACTCGCATCACCTTATTGATCGTTGCGGTCCAACACAGAACTTCTGCTGGCTGTTCTGTGAACTTCCTGGCTAGCTGTTTCCCCCCGTTTCCAGTCTTTATGCTAAGCTAAGCTAAAGAACAACTAACTCTCAGCAGGAAGAAGTATTTGCTAAAGAGTGGAACTGTGCCTTTAAAATATAATTTCAGTTTAAGATGCCTCTACGCCGGCGACAGCGTCATGTTTTTGGGTTGGTTCGGCAAGAGCCCTTCAAAATAAAAGCTCCGACCTTATAATATTAAAAACAATGGGCTAATGAAAGATCATCTACAATCTCAAAACATGTTTTTGGCCAAAAATTGATGATCATATTTCACAGATGGTCGGACATTGAATTGGTGACACTTCTGACTCAAAGGTCAAAGGTCACTGTGACCTCTTCATAGGTTTTTAGCTTTAATATAAGAATACATTGGGCGACTGCAGATTACACAAACATGTTGAGAGGTTCTGTCTGGTTCTGATCTAATGAGCTCGTCTACGAGGTTCTTTTAACTCTTTAATGGAGCTTTTAATTCCTCAAAGGGAGCTGAAACCTCTCTGCTCGCATTCATAACGACGCCACATGAAGAGCTGTAAACGCTAACCGAACCGCGCTCTCTGATGAGCGGCGGGTGGCGTTCATCGTCGTGGAGGTTTCATTAGAAAGAGGAGAAGTTAAAGGATTCAGTTTAACGTCTGAGTTCTCGTCTGCTGCTCAAACGTGAGACATTCGACACGTCGAAGGGAAATAAAAGAGCTGCTCTTCGTCTCCGTGTGTGAGTTTAACCTCGCTCAGGAGGCGGCGGCGCAGGACGGTAACGCTCATCCCGACGAGCTCTGAGCAAACATTTTGTCACGTAGCTGAGAAGCTCCTGAAAGTCAGACAGTGATGTGTTTGTTATGTAATGAGAAACTTTTAGGAGATATAAAGTCAATAAAATCCAAACAGAATAAAAATAAGGTTGAGTGTTGAGGTCAGAGTAAAGCGTGTGTGATCTAACATGCAGCCTTTTACACTGCACTTTATTCTGTTTTGTGGTTTTCCAGAGGAGGAAAACAGTCATTACTGCTGTACACAAACATGTTTGTCACTAACAGAACAACAGCTGCAGCAGCCACAGTCCACATCAGTCCACATCAGTCCACATCTGTCCACCTCTCCGACCGATCTCAACATACAGACGCATATTTTTAGATTCAGTGATTAACAGGAACAGAGGAAGTACCTGATAAACATTCATAGAAATCACTCTTTACATCACTGAGTTCACCGCTAACAGCTAATTCGGCCAAAACATAGACGAATACAGACTAATGTGGATATCATGGAAGTTCCCATGAAGTCAAACTTGAGCCTCCAGTATCTGGTTTTCCCTCTGACGTCCTCACGTCTCAGAGGTTGTGTTCGGCCCCGGGTCCGGCTCCTGTAAACACAGATCAATATCTGCGATGAGTCCGTCTCGAGCTGCTCTGTGAACATTTATTCAGTCAGCTGAACTCTGTTCAACCGACGGATAAAAGGAAGTGTTTCCTGTTTTTTAGCCCTCGTGGACTCGCAGGTCAAAGGTCACCTTTGTTCAGCTTTAACAGTGTGAATGTGTCCAGTCAGCCCGATGAGACACTGACGCTCTGTGTGTGGAACTGATGTGTCATCATCCTGTGGATCACTGCAGCATCATTGATTATTGATTACAGCTCTGGGCACTGTGAGACTTTTAATCAGTGTGGTTAAATGTGTTGAACTCATATCAGCCTGTAGCTGCTTTATATTTTAACAAACACATCATTCATTCCACTGTTAATCTTTCTGTTGTAATGAACTTTATCTTGGAGCGCTCTGGAAGTCTGACCCATGATTTTAATCATCGATGGCAGGAAATAAGACGGCTGAGTAGCTAATTCATTAATTAATGAATTAGCACAATAATTCCTCCTGGAGATTAAGTCGGCTCGCTCCAAAGCAGCCAGACTCCTTTAAGAAAAACAGCAATTTAACCTCAGTGAACAAGAGAGTTGCTGGTCCACCGATGCTCCGATCCACAGCAGCTAATGTTGGTTCAGATCCAAACTAACATCCTAAAACACCAAATTTGCTCAATAACCCGAACAAACTAATCGCTGGAGCCGTCAGTGGATCAGCAACCGCCTCCTTCTGTGAGATAAAATGACTGTTTTTGTTAATGGAGTCTGGTGGTTTTGGAGAGTCTGCGTTATAAACTGGAGTTTGAACGATGTGGTTGTTTATGTGTATGGCTTGTAATTAAAGACACTATCCAGGTGCATTATGGGAAATGTAGGCTCCAGTGTTTTTAGTTTTTGAGAGTCAGGATATTTTCACTGCTGCTGTGAAATGAGACGTTCAGTTTTTGCAGTCAGGTTTTTTCTTCACGCTGAAGTGCAAACAGAGGAGAGGCTGATTTATGGCCTTTTAAAAGTGAGGGCCCCTGCGACGCCTGCAGCAGGAACGTCTCCTCTTCCTCCCTCCTCCTCCTCCTCCTCCTCCTCCCCCTGCTCCTCCTCCTCAGAGGTTTACACTGATGCTTCTGAGCTCAACTCCTCCTGAACCAGATATTTATTGTTTCAGCTCAGAGTTTAAATAAAGTTGGTGTCCAGTTTGCAGAGCAAAGTTTATAAGTGTTTATACTGTGTGTGTGTGTGTGTGTGTGAGTGAGTGTGAGTGTGTGTGGTTTTAGGGTGTGATTGTTTGGACTCACTGCTTGAGCAATGTGAGGGTGTGAGGCAATACAGTAAGCATTTCGCTGTGTATTGTCTCTGTGTTGTGATCTTTTAGTTTCAGTGTGCTTATGTAACGTGTGTGTGTGTGTGTGTGTGTGTGTGTGTGTGTGTGCAGACCAGATGAAACCTGCTGCTGATAATCAGGAACAGAAAAGGATGAAACTTCATTTACACATAAAAACAACATAAAAACTTTATTTTGAAATGTTGAACCTGATGTGGATAGCAGCAGAGCGACACTGATCAATCACTAATCGACTGGTTGATCGTTTCTGATATCACTGTATTGAT